ACGAACTTGTAACACAAACGTACAATAGTTTATTTACGGTCACTTTTGTATTACAAACTATAACAGTTAGCCACAAAGAGAGGAGAAGCTTAGACACGCACAAAAGACATAGAAAGGCACAATAGTTTAGCTAGAATAGCTCACAGTTTAGGAAGATTACGAAAACAGAAATAAATACGTTTTATCACTGATAACACGGGGTACTAGCTAGGCAAATATTAAAGCGAACAAGCGCGGAGTGTGCGTCGGGCGGAAGCAAACAATGCACTATTAGGTGGGAGTAGCCTCGAAACGAAGCTGCGCCGGCGCCTCCGAGCGGACCCGAAGACTGCCGAAGGCCACACTTCGTCCACCCAGCTGCTCCGCTATAGATATAACAAAATACTACAACGGTAACTGCTTGTCCGCTGCGTGACAGAGTTTTATGTTTGTTTTAAATACCCAGCTTGTCAAAGAATGTGTCTATAAACCTTAATAAAGTAACAAAATTGGTGAAAGTTTATTTATTACTAAATAGTGCCTATCAATACTACATGTCTATCAATGAAAGGCTGTCATGTAATTTACTTCTTCTGTATAACTATTATCTTATTATATATTTAATCAATACATACATTATTTATTACTAATAAATTTAGGGCTAAATAATAGCCTTTCTTCTGGCAATAAAGGGTAGCGAATGTCCTTACCGTCTCAGGAACCGAGAGCTACCGCCTTGAATTGTATTCAACTGAGTATCTCAGTAATTATAAGGAAGGACTACCAGTGATGTGTAGAAATTAAAATAAAATAGAGAAGAAATATAATTATGTAAACAAGAACATGAACAAGTGGTTAAATATAAATACTAAAAGTCTACTTTATTATTATTGTAGGTTATCTATGTTACGTACTGACAATAGAAAGAAATAAGATCTGTAACACAAACTATCAACAATATACAGTTTCTCAACATTATATCATTTTATTTAATCAAATTCCAATAAAAAATCTTACTTTTTAGAATATAAACTGATATCCAGGCCCCATCGATACTAAACAAATCTGTAGATACAAAGAGCTTTACTACCCGTAATTTTTTACTACACATATATACCATATACTTACTAACAAAAATTATATTAAAGTCTCAAATGAACCGTAAGGTATTGAGAACAATTTGAATAATGTATAACAAACCACAAAAGAAACCCATATTATTTTTACATTTTGGGATATTTATATTGTAAAATATTATTAAGTTTAATATTATTATACATATATTTATATCATTACATAGCCCCTTTAAAACCATTCGAAATTTCATAGAAAAGTGACAAATGTAACACAGACATATTCGCGGCCGCATAATAGAGCGACGTCTAAATTGGAACTGAATTCTTCAGATGCGTGCCACCCAGTTGGTCAAATATATTAATAAATATACATTTTAAATTGGAACTTTAAATGTAATCTATAAACATTGAATCTTGTTACAAAACGTTCCCACGCTTCATGTTATAAAATATACCTATAACATTTATTGCATTTAACAAATAATCATTTTAATCATAAGTGTAACAGGCCGGTGGTTTGTACAAGCTACTAATAACAAGCAGTGCTTAACGTCGTGTTAACCTTCATTTCAAAATTATAACTAACGTAAATGTTGCCTCTTAACATTTAATGACAAAAAAATACACTGATATAGTATTTACTGGATAGGCTGTCAGCAATTCATCGTCATAAACGATTACAGTCCAGTTCTCCCTATTCTTATCCTAAATACAATTAAAAAAACAAAACGTAAACTAGAGACTATTATGTTTGCTGTCAAACACTAAAGCGTGATTATGCATGTAAATACAAATAAACAAATTATTAATTAAAAAGAAACCTATTACTGTTCTATTATTCCTAATAATATTAGGGGTTAAAGTATGAAATTGCCGATTTGTACTGAAAATTTGAAACTTGTTTTTTCTAAAATATTTATTTAATCCAAATGTTTAACCTCATTATCTATACATTGGTGCTATCTAACAGAAAGTTCATTTATGTCTTCACGATAGGACTCTGTAAATTTAGATTCGACAAACTGTGTAAAAGCATTTTGTACTGCCTCCTAGGAAGATTTTTTTTTATCACGTTGAAAATTGTCCAAATCACGAAAAAAATATTAGTTCGTTGGAGCAAAGTCTGGCAACTACGGAGGATTGCGTATGGTTTCTAACTTTTGACAATCCTGTTGGTCTAGTGTTAGTAACCCTGACTGCTAAGCCAGAGGTCGTTGGTTAGGTTCCCACCCAGGACAAATTTTGTGTGATGAGCACGGTCATTTGTTCTGTGTCTGTGTGTATTTTATCTATGGTATGTATGTACTCGTATTTAAAAATATATAAGTATGTTTGTCAGCAGTCTGGTTACCATAGTACAGGCTGTGCCTAGTTTGGAATCAGACGGTCGTGTGTGAGATGTGTGAAAAAAAAAACTCATGTAGAGTTACAACGGTTTCTCGTACAGTGTGAGGTATTGCGTTATGGTGGAGCAATAATGATGAAGATCGATTCACGAGTCGGGGCTGTTTTACTGCCAGTTTCGCCATCATTGTTCGAAGTTCGGCACAGCAAACATCAGCTGCTATTGCCTGACCAGACCTGAGAAAGCTATAATGAATAACACCATGAAGACAGTTATCATCATCATCAGCCCATCGCAGTCCACTATTTTACATGGGCCTCTTCCAATGCACTTTGATCGATTCTGGGCTTCAAGGACTCGTTTTCCCGAACGGTTGTCGGTTCTGCGGCTATAGTTAAACCGCCGTAAGCTTGGCCCTCCTGATGGTTTGGGGGACGCGGGGCGGGGGTGCATTCAACCAATTAGCTAGTGCGTCGCTGTCCGCCGGCAGTGACTGACGTGAAAGCATGGCTATACGTGTTATTTTTCTTAAGACTGCTACACACGGTATTATTTTGCAACATGGATAATCTGCCGACTCTGCGTCGCAAAAAGATTTAAAAGCTTGAAATTCGGCTTACAGAGGTTCTACTGTTAAAGTTCTAATAAAGAATATTTATTATTTTACTTAATTTTTAAATTGTATCTGAATATAATTTACATGATGAAGATAAGGTGATTTTATTAAATTCGTGTCATGTATAGCCGAGCGCATCACCCGCCCCGCGTCCCGCAAAACATCAGGAGGGCCAAGCTTACGGCGGTTTTACTATAATATGGCCAGCCCACTGCCACTTCAGCTTGCTCATCCGGTAGGCTATGATGGAGACCTTGGTTCTCTGCCGGATCACCTCATTCCTGGTGCGATCCCTTAGAGAAACGATCATAGCCCTTCCCATAGCACGTTGAGCGACTTTGAACTTGTGGACCAGCCGTACCGTAAGTGTTCACGTTTCGGCTCCGTATGTCATGATGGGTAGGACGCACTCATTGAAGACTTTCGTCTTAAGGCACTGTGGGATCGACGATTAGAAGACTTGACGAAGCTTCCCAACCGCAGCATAACCCAACCGAATTCTTTTGTTCGCCTCGTCCTCTAAGTTGTTTCTACCTAATTGCGATGTCTGCCCGAGGTACACATATATCTTGATCTCGAAGTTGTTCACTTCGAAAACGCCATCATGTACCGCAATCGGTTCCGGTAGTACATGTTCACACAGTACAAACAGTTACCATTACCTTTTTATATTTAAGCTTTGCGTTAGGTCACTGTTGCGGCGTTTGACCTGGGGTCAGCCATTACATTTTTCACTTACGGTTATCGTAAACAATCCACTTTTGACCACATGTCACAATTCGATCCAATATTCCTTCATTTTTGTACCGATTCAACAATGCAACACAAGTTTCAACGCGCATTTTTTCTGCAGATCATTCAGATCATGAGGCACCCATTTTTCATATTTTTTTATGCAATAAATTACTATTTTTTTGATGCAAATGATTCAATAGTTAAATAATGCCGCTAAATCCTGGGTAGTTTGACGTTAATCGGCTTCCACCATCTGCTTCAATTCACTGTCATTCACCTGCGTGGGCGGTCTTCCACGTAGTTCGTTCTTCAAGTCAAAGTTTTCATTACGAAAGCATTTAAACCAAAAATGCACAGTGCGTTTATTAGTAGTCTCCTCTGCAAACGCATCGCTGATATTGCGATCCGTTTCTGCCGCGGTAATGCTGCGTCGGAATTTGTATTCAAAAATGACTCGGATTTTCGAAGTCTCCCTCTTTCACGTTTAAGCTTATTTAGTCTATGTATCTAAAAAACAATTGAACGTCGAAAATCGAAATTTGCACATTTTAAAAAAGTATCATGTGAAAAAGTTTTACACCACCATCATCATCAACCCTTAATAGTTCACTGCTGGACATGGACATTTAATATCCTAATAAGAAATAGACTCAGTACCGATGGTCATGAAGAATGATTTTTAGCCCGTACATTTCCTTCCATTCATGATATTGTAATAATTAACATTTAACGAATACCCAAACAATACAGAATAAACACAAAGAGAGTCCCAAAAGTATTATTCTTATAACTTTACGGTCTCTTTTATAACTTACAATACATATTATTCAGTTCCAGTATGTGAAATATCTTTAAAATATACAACTTTCTCTGAACTAATTACGTCAGTAATATAGTTGTTTATTGTCCCGCCCATTGGTCTGCATCACATATAATTGCTTTGAAATATATACACATTATGCAACAACTCAAAATGAAAATTTAATACTCATGTTCAACTATACTTATTCGTTGTTTATTTAAAATCACTTGAGAGAGTTATACAGCTGTTAGATTTGATATAAATAACATCTGATTGGATATTTTAATTTCGGAACTGGAAAAACATGAGTCAATTTTCTCGTAATTAACAGTATTCCATTCCATTAAGTGCTTGTTATATTAAAATATGTTACTTTAAAATATTAAATATTGCAAGTAAATTTAGCTTTAGAACATACGCAGATCACCTTTCCAATAAGGTTCATTGTTAATGTGGAGAGATCACAAGTAATTCAATTAAATTGTCTCTGGGTGGGTTCGTTAGCGTGCGACGGGAGCATGCGGAGACGCAGGCGGCGAACGAATACAACGGTAGCGCGCGCGGCTTGTCTGACGACGACACTAAATGCACATAAACGTTGTTGAATCGACTGAAAATCGATGCTGATTTGATTTTGCTGCCTTCATTAGGGATCCGGTTCTTCACTTCAATAAGCTTTTGAGTCTTAATTATTCCGCTTGAACTTCGGTCCGTTTGAACTTGCTTCGAAGTCAAAAATATATAAACAAACATTTTAAAACTCATTACTAGTTAGTATGAGTTTTATAATGTTTCATATCGTTGTGTCATTAATAATGCATAATTCCATTAATACGATGTTTATAAATAAATAATATTAACGATCTTGTAATAGCTCTTTTCATTTAAAACGGGACAAGGATATAAATATACTGGGTCATTTTTAATGGCAATTTCAAAGCTATTTCAAAGAACGCAAAATGCGTACGCGGTTGGTTAGCCTTAGTACAGAGATAGCGCCTATCCAGCCAATTAATATGCCTAATGCTAACATCATTATTACTAGGCATGGTGCACTTAACATACTATATCCATTTACATTTTGATTTGTGTAGAGCTAGGCTGCGATTAATCGGCGAGCAGCGTGCGCCGGCGCCGCTGATTTATGGCGAGCGCGCGGTCGCACACGCCAGAACGACGATACCCACTAGTCCCTGTCTGTAATCAACACACACATATATTTATATACTACTTACATTATCTTCGTAAACAAAAACGATTCCTATTCCAATAGTGTTGTCAAATAAATTTTAATTTACGTATTTTGTGTTTGAGTGAACTGTTGGTCTGGTGGTTAGTGGCTTGTAACTGCTACGCCAGAGGTCGTGGGTTCACTTCCCATCCATCACAAATAATTGTGAGATGAGCACGGTAATTTTTCTGTGTATGCTGTGTATATATACACAGTATAATTATGTTATTTTTTTACACCTTCCTTTATTATTTTTTTACCAGTCAAAAACAACTTGCATCTTAATGTCTGTCTGGACAATTTATCGCGATGCTTAATTGTCTAAAATTACGTCAGATTATACCTGTATTTAAAGACAATATTATGAAAATTTCAATATACTTTGTACCAAGAAATACACCTGACTACAACAATAAAACCTGACTACATAAGATCAGCGGGGGGAGGGGGTTCAAAGTAGCTGACCCTTAGGACGCTTTTACCTGGTCCAGACAAGTCTAATTGGTAAATCAAATATCGATAACATTGATACTATTGGTATTAGGGTACATGCTGTTGATATTATTAAGAATTTCCCGTAATTATTGTTTTATGCGATCTTAGTTTTTGTAAAGTGATACTTCAGTACAGTCTAATGAAAGTTATTCCTTGATGAATATAATATTTATTGTGTAATAAAGTATCATGTAACAACAATTATCTAAAGCGGTTATTCTCCTTTAATAAGCTCCCTTTGAGTAATCTTAAACGCAAAGAAATATGACTTCTCTAATTTTAGTGACTAAGAGGTTCTTCAAATATGTATATAAGATACGAGTATTACGGCCCTTGGGCAAGCAAAGTGCTAAAGGGGTATTTATTTAAATCTAGCTTAAAACTCAAGATATTAAGCTAGCTTTAAATAAATACCCCTAATAATCTTTATGTAGATTGACTTATTCACTGACGGATAATTTTCTCCTCGGAAATTAGCACTGTGTACCACGATGTATAATAACAGTTTTTATTAACAGAATGAGTCTTTAACTTGCAGGAACTCGTCATCTGTAATGACAGTAATTATAATCAATCGATTATGGTGTGCGTCTTATGGGCTATTCATTCTAAATTATGTTTGGAAGTAAATGCAAAATATATATAATTTTGGATAATAGGTTGAGCCTTTCTAAGATGAAATAAATGCTTACGGAGGACTATCTTTAATAATTGTTGTAAGATTATGAAAATTTAAACAAGACTGGTCCGAGACAATGAAAGTTGGAAGTATAAGAATAGAAATTATGTTTTGCCGATGTTAATGATAAACAAAAGCATTGTGAGGAAAAAGGTAGGAACATTTCCTAGTGTTCTTGAATATTTGTAAAGTAACTAAAATAAAGATTGTATCTATAACTATGAGAAATAATAAATATAATATTATTTACTTCTAAAACTTTAGAGATAAATTGCAACATAATTTGCAACAAATTTTAACATGGTCTTTATTTTATTTAACGCATAAAATAAAGACCATGTTAAAATTTGTCTCAGCAAAGTGCATTTTAATAAAATATGTTTTTCGAAATGATAGCATAAAAATCGAACACTTTAAAAAAGTACCAGTATTTACGAATAATCTTATGGTAATTTAAGTTAAGAAATTAAAGAATCTATATTAAGATAATCAGTTTTGCCAATATTTTCAACGGATTACCGTTTTTTTCTTTTTTCAAAACTACAATATGTAATGCGCTTTGTACTAGAAACATTACAGACAGACAGATAGATAAAGCTACGAGTACTTCATAACGGTATATAGATACATAAACAGTGAATATCTAATGTATTGGAAAATATGGACAGTTAAGTTAGTAGTTAGTAAAAGTTCGTAAAATTTCTAAACAAACAAACGTGAAATACAGATTGTACACCTCTTCATTAAGGCAATATCCTATATATATAGTGCGTTAGGTAGGTAAACGCTCCCAAAAAATAAAAACAGACAATAGTATTAGTACCTTAGATGACGGGTCAGAAAAAATGGATCCCGATTGTTTTTTTTTTAAATCTTTTACAAATATTCTCTATCTCACTCAAATTAACTGCACGTTTATTAAAATCATTAATAAATTCGTGCGCAATAGTTTTTTTTCTACCTTATTCACAAGTGTGGGTTGTACAATGGCGGACTTAATGCCACAGGCATTTTCTCCCAGTCTTCCTTAGGGTAGTGCTGAAATGTGTGACTAGGTGCACTAGAGATTGATATGTACCCAAAGTAAGAGAAAATTTTTGAGAAGTTAGACAGAAACACTGACATAAATACATACATACAAACGTACCTACTACATACATATAAAAAATGCTTATCTATTTACATTCATACATAAACCTACATATTGATAATATTTTAAACTTTGGTTGTAAAGAATGGTGTCCAGAATGCGGCTGGGTGCTATCTTGATTTCCAGAGGGAGAGCGTTGCAGAGGAGCACGGACTGGATTAGGAACGAGGAATGGACTCAAGCAGAAGTACATATGAATATATACTCGTATATGTGAATGTAAAAGATTATATATATGTGAAAAATTATAGGAATAGCATGATTAAACTAGAAATGGATCTAAAAAAATGGGTGATCCGCAGTACAAGAAACCGACAAGTAGATTTTACTATTACGTCAAAAATGTTATAGTACCCATAATTTTTATAACACAAAACAACTGATTGTACGTATTGATGATGCACATACATCTGATTAAACATATTTTGGGCACTCCCATATCATGGCACTTATGCACAGAAAGAATGTTCATTTATTATAAAAACAACAAAATAAAACTATTAGTAAAGCTCTAAAAGATAATATGCTTCGCCAGACAGGGGAAATGGTTCGTAAACCATTTATGATATCTATTTAAGTTCATGCTGGGTATTTGCTGGAAGCAACATTAAATCAAATATCAGATGATCAGAGGCAGGTAAACGGTAGCAGTTATTTAGCAGGAACGGCGGCGGGAGAGCGCGCGAGCCGCCCACTCACGTGATTTATCCGCCAGGGCTGTCGTTGCCTCGGATTTACTTTCCTGTTGAAATATCTACAAATCCGTGACGAAATATGCCTCGATTTTGTCTCGTAATCAACTATATACGACTGGCAAGTCTCTCACTTGTCAGTTTGTCAGTTGTAGACAAGACTGACTTAAAAGTACATATTACGATAGAGTTTTTAGTAGGAAACGCAGACGCCTGGGATTTATGTTCTAAACGCTTAAATGTTTTATGGGTCAGTTCTGAAATATTCAAAGTAATAGGCTTTTTAGGGTTTCGTACCTCAAAAGGTAAAAAAGGAACCCTTATAAGATCACTTTTTTGTCCGTCCGTCTGGCCGTGTGTCACCACCGATTTCCTCAGGAATGGGTAGACCTAGCAAGTTGAAATTTATACCAGATACTGAGGTTTATGGTCCCTATTAGGTTTCTGAAAATCAAGGTCCTGAGCCAACACCATAAAAAGATATTGCCCATATCTTTTTTTTCTTATTAATTTAGATTTTCGCGAAAACTTGTAAGTACCAAAATTTACCTTAATTTTCAACTTTTTTTTATTGTTCAGAAGTTTCTACTTAAGTACTTATGCTGTAAGACCTTGCTTTTAACCAAAATTGACAATTCTAGGTCAACCGGAAGTACCATATAGCTTTTGGGTCGAAAACCTATATGGTAGTTCCCGTTGACCTAGAATCACGAAATTTGGCAAAAAGAAACGTCTTATAACTTGTGTTATAAGACGTTTCTTTTTGCCAAATTTCGTAAAGCAATCATTCCAAAAAATAAAAAAGTTGAAAATTAAGATAAATTTTGGTACTTACAAATTTTGATCAACTTATACATATATTTGCTCAATAAATTCATACAGGAAAATTCTACTATCGTCAAAACTCCCAACAAAAAGAAGATAAATAAAACCATTGATCACTGTTCGGTTATTTAAATGTATCTGCAACCTTTCGTTTGATACTAGTACTTTTAAGATAGCACTCGTAAAAGCAATTTACAAAGCGGGTGACAAGGATAGTATACCTAATTATAGGCCCATCTCGATTCTTCCTGCGCTATCAAAGATTTTGGAAAGATTAATAAACAAACGTCTTAAAAAATTCTTGGAAACACATTCCCTTCTCTCACCTGTTCAATTTGGATTCCGTTCTGGCAGAACAACTAATGATGCTGTACATCAACTCATTAACTCTATTGTTAGTAATACCGATAAGAAAAGGAAGTGTTTAACGGTTTTCCTTGATTTGGCTTAAGCCTTCGATGTGTGCCCATTTCACTGCCCTTGAGTAAATTGGAGAGGGTGGGCGTCAGGGGACTTCCGTTGCAATTGATTAGTGACTACCTGAATAATAGGAAACAATGTATGAGTATTGGAGGTTTGGTTAGTCAGGAACTTTCTGTACATCATGGCGTGCCTCAGGGCAGTGTTCTAGGTCTCAGTCTTTTCCTGGTCTATATAAATGACTTGTGCCAACTAGAAATT